ACATACATACATACCCAGTGAAAAGCAGAGGTGTAGTGAGCACAATAAGAAAACACTTTACCAACAGCGGGTCACCAACAGCAACAGCCTGATTGACCAGACAAGGACGAAACGAGCCTGACTCGTGGTCTTGCCCTTGGAGTAGAAAAACTCTCGGAACTCATCAAAGGTACAGATATACATACATACATACATACATACATACATACATGCATCATACATGCATACATACATACATATATACATACATACATCACACACACATACAAACGAATTACCATTCCTAAAAATGTAGAGGTGGATCTTAGCTCAGTGGTAGCGTCTTCAGCTGCCAATTAATTTATAATAATAAATGGCGGACATGTAATGTTAAAGTGGGTGAGGCGGTTAGAGAGGGTGTGGTAGGTAAGTCTGGTGTGCCAGGTGTAAATGATAATGGGGATCTTTGATTGAACTTTGTATAGAAAGGGATTTGGTCGAAGGAGATACATAATTTAAGAAAGAAAGGATAAGTATACAAGATATGATGTAGAGCTTAATGTCAGTAGTTTGTTAAGCTATGTATTGGTAGATGAAAGACTGATAGGTAGACTTAAAGATGTATATGTTTATAGAGGGGCCACAGATATATCAAATCATTTTTGGTTGTAGTTATAGTGAGAATTTAAGGTAGATGGGAAATAAGGAGAATGGCATCAGCAAGTAAGAGAGAGATGAAGGTTGTAAACTAAAGGAGGGTAAGATATAAACTATTGGAAGACAGATGGGCTAGTGAAATTATAGGTATTGACGTTGAAGAGGTACGGGATAGATTTAAGAATGTAGTGTTTAGAGTGTTTAGCAAAAGTGGTTACAGGAAAGTGGGTAGTAAAGAGAAAAAGTTAGCATATGAGACGTTTTCACAAAGTAGAATTGATGCAAAGAGGGAGGAGTATATGGAGAGGTTAACAGAGTGGCGATGGAATGTAAAAGGAGAGCAAATGAAAGAGTCGGTGAGGTGCTATCAACAAATTTTGCTGGAAATAAGAGTTTTGGAGTGAGATTAATAAGTTAAGAAAGCCTAAGGAACGAGTGGATTTGACAGTTAAAGATATGAGAGAATTATTAGATGGGAAGTTGAAAGTATCGGGAAGATGAGAAAATATTTTGAGGAACTGTTAAATGTTGATGCAGACAGGGAAGCTGTGATTTCATGCATTGGGCACGGAGGTATAGCATCTTGTAGGAGTGAGGAAGATCCAGTTGCGAGTGTAGGGGAGGTGCATGAGACAGTGGGTAGAATGATAAGGGGTAAATTATTATTATTATTATCAAAAAGAAGCGCTAAATGAAAGTGGGTAAAGCAGCTAGGATTGTTGGGATAAAATAAAAAAAAATGTTAAAGGCAGGTGGGGAATGGTTAGGGCTTTCATTTAATAAATATATGGAAGAGGGGAAGGTACCTACGGATTAGCACAGATCATGCATAGTTCCTTCGTATAAAAGCAAAAGGGACAAAATAGAGTGTAATAGGAGGTTACTGAAAACAGTTAACAGTTTTTGCGAGGCTAATGAGGCTCAGGTTAGAGTATGTAGGAGAGAGGGAGATTATTTCCCAGTAAAAGTAGGTCTTAGACAAGGATGTGTGATGTCACCATGGTTGTTCGATACATTTATAGATGGGATTATAAGAGAAGTGCATGCTTGGGCGCTGGCAAGAGGTGTGGGATTAAGTGATAAAGAATCTAACACAAAGTGGGAGTTGTCACAGTTGCTCTTTGCTGATGACTGTGCTTTTGGGAGAATCTGAAGAGAAGTTGCATAGGTTGGTGAACGAGTTTGGAAGGATATGTAAAAGAAGGAATTTAAAATGTAGGAAAGAGCAATGGAAGGAAGGCGGGTAGAAGTCATCCTTAAAAAGGTTGGATGGAAGGGGTAAAGGTTTTGTGTGCAAGGGGTTTGGACTTCCAGCAAGTGCACGTGAGCGTGTTAGATAGGAACGAGAGGAGACGAATGGTTTTTATGACTTGACGTGCTGTTGGAGTGTGAGTAAAGTAACATTTATGAAGGATTCAGGGAAACCGACAAGCTAGATTTGAGTCCTGGAGGAGTGTTGACATGTTGCAGTTTTATAACTGTAGTGTAGACGCGCCTCTGGAAGAGAGCGATGGAGTGAATATTGATGAAAGTGTTCCTTCTTTTACGGGTCACCCTTCCTTGGTGGGTGACCAATGTTTAATAAATAAATATATATATATATATATATATATATATATATTATATATATATATATATATATATAAATCTTGGACAAAATCTATGAATGGCGTAACAGAAAGCCGAACACAGTTGATCAACAAAGTAACAAATAACCGATCGCAACCCGACTTTTCGAACAGGAGCAGAGCCGAACACAGCCCGACTGTCGGAACAAACGGAGCCGTACACAATCGACAGAATACCAGAAATTAATTCTAAATGAACGCTATCTCGAACGATTCTTATGTGCAGGATTCTTATCTTCGGATGACGAACGTTTACGAAACACATATGCAACATTAACCGAAATGGAAACGTAAATACGAAAGCCACACACATAAAAAAATCTGTATGAAATCGGGGCCGAAACAACTATGTAAGAATAAAGATATCTCTTGGAAATCAGCTGAAAGATAAGCAGACGATGAGAAGATAGAAGATAAGATTAAAAACAAGATAAAAAACAGATTTTAAAACAGCCAATAAATTTTTAACACTGAAATAAATAAACAATTATATAAAAAAAAATTAAGTACATAAATCTGGCAGATTTAAGAGGAAATGACAAGAATCAGATTCGTTCTAAAAATCAAAGAAAATATTTTGACAGAAAATTGCTAAGACTTAAAAAATCTAGCTTTTATCTTTATAATCTGGCTTAATCTGACGGTTCCTAGAGGCCATTTAATGTCCCAGATTTAAAAAAAATCGGTTCCAGGCTCGAGGATACAGTCACAGACAATCGAAAAATCGGTTCCAGAATCGGAGGGGAGAAGGCAGAGGGGGACAGCACGAGGGGAGAACGGGGGGGCAATCTAAGAGGGAGGGGGGAGGGGAGTAGAAAGGGGATGTAACAAGGTCCATTGAATAAGCGTCATCTTATTACGCGTGTTTACTATAAAGAGTGAGGCAAGTGGAGGGGAGAAACCGCTCTCGCAACGGGGAAATTTCCCCTCCTATTCGTCCGGGTTTGTTTTCTTTCCCTAAACTTCCGTCTTTGCAACCGGGAGTCTTAAAAAAAAAAAGAACATATATGGGAAAATTTCGTTGGTGACTGTTTATATAATTTTTTCCCCCGCCACACACAGGTACTTAAAAAGTCTTGATGATGTTATGAGAAGCTTAAGGTGGACAGTTATGGAGGATGGCGGGGAAGAAGTGGCGTCGAGGCGCGGGGATTTTTCTCCCTAGTGTCATCCTGGCTGGTCCGTAGTGGCGTTTATCTGGAGTTTAGTGTTAACAATGGTGCTATGGGAGGGAGGGGGGATGGATGGAAGATGGGGGAGGGGAGGGGAGGGATGCTGTAAGAGAGGGGAAGGGAGGGATGCCGTAATAGAGGGGAAGGGAGGGATGCTGTAAGAGAGGGGAGGAGCAGCGATGCTATAAGAGGGAGGGAAGCGATGCTGTAGGAGAGAGGGGGGACAGGGATGCTGTAAGATAGAGGATGGCAGGGATATTGTAAGAGAGGAGAGGGGCAGGGATGCTGTAAGAGAGGGGAGGGCAGGAATGCTGTAAGAGGGGAGGGAGGTAGGGATGCTGTAAGAGAGGGAAGGGAAGGGATTCTGTGAGAGAGGAGAGGGGAAGGAATGCTGTAAGAGAGGGGAAGGGCAGGGATGCTGTAAGAGAGAGGAGGGGCAGGGATGCTGTAAGGGAGAGGAGGGGCATTGATGCTGTAAGAGAGGAGAGGGGTAAGAATACTGTAGAAGAGGGAAGAGGGATGGAAGGAGGGGAGGGAGGAAAATCTAAGATAGAGGTGAGGGAGGAAGTGTTGTAACGTGAAGAAAAAGGGAGAGACAAACAAGGATATAAATGAACACTACTGTATTTATTACTGTATTTATTATTTAATGTTGTATTTGTTATTTATTACTCTGTCTTATTTATTACTGTATTTATTATTGTATTTATTATTTACTGCTGTATTAATATTAATTCTGAATTTACTACTACTGTATTTGCTACTATATTCAATAATGTATTTATTTCTACATGTATTACTGGTACTGCTGTATTTACTGTTGTATTTACTACTGTATTTACCGCTGTATTTGTCAGAATGTCAACTCAAGCAGGAAAAAGTATTTTTTTGTTTGTCTTGACAGGAATGTGCTTCGTCTCCTTGTGTATTTGTTGAAGTTTCTTTGTTTTACTTCCGCCACAAACAAAATACAGTATGCAGATAATGTTTGTGTTTTTGTTAAAGTTCTTGCAAAAAAATTGAGTTTAGCATTGTGTGAGAAAAATGAACGAAAGATATTTTGTAATTGTTACGATGTATATTTACTGGACCCCCCTTGAATTATTATTATTATTATTATTATTATTAGTAGTAGTAGTAGTAGTAGTAGTAGTGGTAGTAATATTATTATTATTATTATTATTATTATTATTATTATTATTATTATTATTATTATTGCTATTATTAGTATTATTATTGTAATTGTTGTTGTTACTGTCATTATTATTGTTTTTATTATTATGATTATTATTTTTTATTATTAAATCTGTATGTTATACAGCGTCTGGGAGAATGGTAGGTAATTACTTTTTAATTCGAGGAAGGAGAGGGGGTAGCTCTACTTATTAGGATTAAGAACCTTTTACCAGTATTCAAGGAGCTATCTTCCCCCTTCCTCGGATCAAACTCAATTATATCCCATTACTCCTTACTGGTTTAGTGCTGCCATATAATACACGCACACACACCGAAGAACGGAGAACGATCTGTAAACCACTTGTACTGACTACTCTCTCCACTGCAGGATGATGAACGGGCAGCAGGCGGGCGGTGGATCGTCGAGGTCGTCAGAGTCCCGGGATACCCATCACGACGACGATGATGACGACCTCATCAACCCAGGTTCCCCAACGCCCCTAGATGACAGCGACGACGAGGACCTGTCCTTGGGTAAGTGGTTCCCACCTTTTCTCTCTCTGCAAGTCGTTTCTAGTCCCCCTGTTTCTGAGAGGGTCGTTCGTAGCCCTTCTCTCTCTCTCTCTCTCTCTCTCTCTCTCTCTCTCTCTCTGTCTCTCTCTCTCTCTCTCTCTTTCTCTCTCTTTGGGAGGGTCGCCAGTGGCCCCTGTTTTTCTGGGAAGGTCGTTCTGGTAGCCCTGTCTCTGGTACTTTCGTTCCTAGTAATTCTTTCTCTATCTCTTTCCCTCTGAGATGGTCGTTCCTAGCCCCTTTCTCTTTAGGAATGTCGTTCCTGCACCTTTCTCTTTAGAAAAGTCGTTCTGAGCTTTCCTATCTCTTGTAAGGCCGTTCCTACCTTTTCCATCTTTGGTTTTGTCGTTCCTAGCTTCTTTCTTTCCGGGAGGGTCATTCCTAGCCTCTCTTTCTCTGAGAGGGTCGTTCCTCGCCCCTCTTTCTCTAGGAGGGTCGTTCCTAGCCCTCTTTCTCTAGAAGGGTCGCTCCTAGCTCCTTTTTATCTGAGAGGGTCGTTCCTAGCCCCTCACCCCACTAGCCAACGTCATGCTTAACAGCACCATACTTATCAACACTATACTTGACAGCACTGTGCTTAGTAGCACTATTTACCAGTCAAAAGAAGAGCACAAGCAAGGTTGCCACACTCACGGTCATGAAGCCACAACGCTGGAGTGACTGATGGCACTTATTTCCGCCAGAAGAGAAGCTGTCTCATCTAGGCCAGAGTGTTGAGCTTCGCACAGAGTTCAACATGAGCACAAATCGTGTCATATACAGGTGCTCGTGTCTGAGAGCTGGTAGAAGGATGTGTGAGTTCCAGTAGGCTGGTAACGAGGTAATAGTTTCTGTTCTAGCTGAAGCATGAGTCGAGGTAACAGTTTCTGTTCTAGCTGAAGCATGAGTCGAGGTAATAGTTTCTGTTCTAGCTGAAGCTTGAGTCGAGGTAATAGTTTCTGTTCTAGCTGAAGCATGAGTCGAGGTAATAGTTTCTGTTCTAGCTGAAGCATGAGTCGAGGCAATAGTCTGTCTTTTAGTCGAATTTTGTGTCGTGGATGTTGTCAGTGTTCTGGTCCTGGTGTTGACAAGTGAACGTGGGAAGTCAATGAATAACTTTCGTTGCGTCGTTACAGAGAGCTAGAGCTGATGTTGACTCTATACTTCTAGAGTCTAAAGTCTAGAGGCTAGAGTTTAGAGGTTCGAGGTTCGATTCTAACACGTCTGAGGAATTTGTGTGTGTGTGTGTGTGTGTGTGTGTGTACTCACCTCACCTAGTTGTACTCACCTAGTTGAGGTTGCGGGGGTCGAGTCCGAGCTCCTGGCCCCGCCTCTTCACTGATCGCTACTAGGTCACTCTCCCTGAGCCGTGAGCTTTATCATACCTCTGCTTAAAGCTATGTATGGATCCTGCCTCCACTACATCGCTTCCCAAACTATTCCACTTACTGACTACTCTGTGGCTGAAGAAATACTTCCTAACATCCCTGTGATTCATCTGTGTCTTCAGCTTCCAACTGTGTCCCCTTGTTACTGTGTCCAATCACAGTAACAAGGGGACACAGTTGTGTGTGTGTGTGTGTGTGTGTGCGTGCTCACCTATTTGTACTCACCTATTTGTGGTTGCAGGGGTCGAGCCTTAGCTCCTGGCCCCGCCTCTTCACCGGTTGCTACTGGGTCCCCTCCCTGCTCCATGAGCTTTTTCAAACCTCGTCTTAAAACTATGTATGGTTCCTGCCTCCACTACGTCACTTTCTAGGCTATTCCACTGCCTGACAACTCTATGACTGAAGAAATACTTCCTAACATCCCTTTGACTCATCTGAGTCTTCAACTTCCAATTGTGGCCTCTTGTTTCTGTGTCCCCTCCCTGGAACATCCTGTCTTTGTCCACCTTGTCTATTCCGCGCAGTATTTTATATGTCGTTATCATGTCTCCCCTGACCCTCCTGTCTTCCAGTGTCGTCAGACCGATTTCCCTTAACCTTTCTTCATAGGACATTCCCCTTAGCTCTGGAACTAACCTTGTCGCAAACCTTTGCACTTTCTGTAATTTCTTAACGTGCTTTATCAAGTGCGGGTTCCAAACAGGTGCTGCATACTCCAGTATGGGCCTGACGTACACGGTGTAGTGTCTTGAACGACTCCTTGCTAAGGTATCGGAACTCTGTTCTCAGGTTTGCCAGGCGCCCATATGCTGCAGCAGTTATCTGGTTGATGTGTGCTTCCGGAGACATGTTCGGTGTTATACTCACCCCAAGATCTTTCTCCTTGAGCGAGGTTTGCAGTCTTTGGCCACCTAGCCTATACTCTGTCTGCGGTCTTCTTTGCCCTTCCCCTATCTTCATGACTTTGCATTTGGCGGGGTTAAATTCGAGAAGCCAGTTGCTGGACCAGGTGTCCAGTCTGTCCAGGTCTCTTTGAAGTCCTGCCTGGTCCTCATCTGATTTAATTCTCCTCATTTACTTCACATCGTCTGCGAACAGGGACACTGCTGAGTCTAACCTTTCCATCATGTCGTTCACATATACCAAAAATAGCACTGGTCCTAGGACCGACCCCTGTGGGACCCCGCTCGTCACAGGTGCCCACTGTGATACCTCATTACGTACCATGACTCGTTGTTGCCTCCCTGCCAGGTATTCTCTGATCCATTGCAGTGCCCTTCCTGTTATATGCGCCTGTGTGTGTGTGAGTGCAATAAACCCCTACCAAAGCTCGCCATTTCACGCGTTACGAAGAATAAACAAGAGTCTATCGCCATAGCAAAAATTTGCAGCCAGACTGGACGATATCGCCAATAATTCATCACTCTTCCACCAGTTCACGCCCCGGTACTTCTGATTCTCTCAACAAATTTCGCCAATATATTTTTTCTGTTTTATATTTCACTTTGCCGGTGATTTGATCTTTTTTTTAAATATATAAAAAAAACATATTAATTGAATTCTGGTGAGAATGATACGGTGTTTCCTGCATGTTGCTTCAAATTGCCTGAACATGCTGCTTGAGCAAGGCGAGAGTTGCAGAAGATGGGGGGGGCGGGAGGGGGGTAAATCAGGGGGGATGAGGGGGGGTTTAAGGGGGGGAAGGGATTGCCGTCTAGAGAGCGACCTCGAGGAAGTGTTGATGTTGAAGACGTGTTTCTTTTTTTTTAAAGAGGTGTTAATCTTAGAGTGTTTATCTTCATGAAGTGTTGAGGCCTGGTCTCAGACCGAGCCGCGGGGGCGTTGACCCCCGAAACCCTCTCCAGGTAAACTCCAGGTAAGTGTTCTTACAATCTTGAAGATGTGTTCTTCTTGAGGTGTCTTCTTCCTCTCTCTCTCTCTCTCTCTCTCTCTCTCTCTCTCTCTCTCTCTCTCTCTCTCTCTCTCTCTCTCTCTCTCTGTCTCTCTCTCTCTCTTTCTCTTTCTCTCTCTCTCTCTCTTCTCTCTCTCTCTCTCTCTCTCTCGTCTCTCTCTCTCTCTCTCTTTCCTCTCTCTCTCTCTCTCTCTCTCTCTTCTCTCTCTCTCTCTCTCTCTCTTGCTGCGCATGTTATTCTCCATCTATTTTTTCTGTAACGTTATGAGAAAACGGATTTTTTTTTTTATTTTGAGCCTGGTGTCCCTGGTCGTCAGAGCCTGGTATCTCTGGTCGTCAGACCCTGATATCCCTGGTCGTCAGTGCCTGGTATCCCTGGTTGTCAGAGCCAGGTATCCCTGATCGTCAGAGCCTGGTATCCCTGGTCGTCAGAGCCAGGTATCCCTGGTCGTCAGAGTCTGGTATCTCTGGTCGTCAGACCCTGATATCCCTGGTCGTCAGAGCCTGGTATCCCTGGTTGTCAGAACCAGGTATCCCTGGTCGTCAGAGCCAGGATACTCGTGTTGGACTTATGCTAATTTCATAACATTAATTGGAATTCATTAATTTCTAATTAATAAACGCAACTTTTAATTTACCCTTCCATCAATTAAAGTTAATTGTTAACAGCCGAATGGATGATTTGTCGCTCTGGCTACAGGTTTGTCACCGCTGATTGTTAATTATCTCCCCCGCTTTTGTCTCCCCATCAGGCACGCACTCCCCGCCTCCTGTGGCTGAGAGTCCGCTTCCCAGCAGTGCCCAGACTGACGGAGGTGTGGTCTCCCCCGCCTCCAACACCACTTCATCTCACCCCCCGTCTGTCTCCCCGCACCCGGCCAGCATCTCGCCGCATCCGGCTAGCATCTCGCCCCACCCGGCGTCTATATCTCCCCACCCGTCGACGACACCGCCGCAGAGCTCTCCGCTGCCGCTGCTGAAGAACGACTCGTCGCCACCAGCCTCCGACCACCACAACCACCATCACCACCACCACCATCAGCTCACTACCTCGCTGGAGGTGACCAAACCTTACCTGGTGCCTCCAATGTCCTCCCTTCCACTTATGACCTCCCTGGCCACCTCCCTCGCCTCCCCTCTCTCCCTGTCCTCTCTTCCCTTCTCCTCCATGGCCGCGGGGGATGGCTTCAAGTTCCCCTCGCACCCGTTCCTCCATCACCCACATCCTCTCCTTCACCCTTTCTCCCTCCACCACCCACTGCCGCTAGTCACCCCACACACTCACCCCTTCTTCTCCACCCTACCACCTCACAACCCCTCCGCTACGTGAATGTCTCCACCCCGCATCGCATATCCTTAAAATACTTAATATAACCCCCCCCCCGTCACAATTAACAAACCTATAATTTCCCACTTAATTTCTCGTACCTAAATAAGTGTACACTTCCTCCCTATATGTAAGTCAGTCATGTCATGTCATGTCATATCCCTTTATTCATTCATACATTGACTCATTCAGCCAGTCATTGCTCCACACACACACACACACACACACACACACACACACACACACACACACACACACACACACACACAGCAAATATCGGACAATACGAGAAGAAATTAGAACTGAATCAGCACCTCTCTTGAAAATTTAATTTTTATCACCACAACGGTTCAACAATGGTTCAACAACGGTTCAACAGTGGTTCAACAACGGTTCAACAGTGGTTCAACAACGGTTCAACAACGGTTCAACAATGGTTCAACAACGGTTCAACAACGGTTCAACAACGATTCAATAACGGTTCAACAGTGGTTCAACAACGGTTCAACAACGGTTCAACAATGGTTCAACAACGGTTCAACAATGGTTCAACAACGGTTCAACAACGTTTCAACAATGGTTCAAGAATGGTTCAACAATGGTTCAACAATAGTTCAACAACGGTTCAACAATGGTTCAACAACGGTTCAACAATGGTTCAACAGTGGTTCAACAACGATTCAACAATGGTTCAACAACGGTTCAACAATGGTTCAACAACGGTTCAACAATGGTTCAACAACGGTTCAACAACGGTTCAATAACGGTTCAACAATGGTTCAATAACGGTTCAACAATGGTTCGACAATGGTTCATAAGAAGCAATGGAAGAAAGTGCCCGCACTGAAATTCACTTAGAAAAGAATAAGAGCAGAACCACTGAAACAAACGAGTTACCTACTAAAGTTTCAAGACTGTCGCCTGAGGCAGTACTTAGAGCCCCCCCCCTGAAGTTGCAACACCATCGCTCGAGAAACACCCTGAAGTCACCCCCAACAGAGAATTCAGTACCAGTGGAAAATTAACTCGTGTATATCCAGCGAGTGACATTCCTTCCATCAATTTTAACTCCCTGGAGGCTCTTGACTATCGATTTTGGAGAATCGATTGATATGTCTCCCGCCGCCTGTCAACTCGGCTTGCCATGTCTACAAACACAGCCCTGGGACGGTCCTCCCAGCTTTGCCAAGACGATTATTGGTGTTCTTAGGTGGAGAGACACAAGTACAACTAATGCGATAGTTTATTGTGGCAACGTTTCGCTCTCCAGGAGTTTTATCAGGTTGTTACTACGACTTGATATATGTCCTTTTACCTAATATATTGTCGGTAATTTACCAACATTATTACAATTACTATTATTATTATATTATCATTATTATTATTATTATTTTATTAATATTATTATTATATTATATATTATTATTATTATTATTATTATTATTATTATTATTATTATTATTATTATTCTTTTATTAAAGTACTGGAGCCGTGTGGGTCACTCAACACAAGGAAACGTGGAGGCTCGTTTCTCCGTCCACAAACCACAAGCCTGCGAGGTTATCTAGCGGCACTTAATGATATGCCGAATTCTTTTCTACCAGAGAAGACAGGACCCGTAAAGCAAATTTCCAGATGATAATTCATCGCTCGATGACCACAAGATGGGTTGGTTAATGGGTTTCAAGCCTATCGAACTGTATGGGAGTCATTACTTAAGGCTGCGCGTACCCTGTTCACTGTGGGATTAGAAAACGAAGGATCGAGTCTACACAAACTCCTTGCGTCGAATACCGTACGTGAATTTAGAGCTGCGCATAGCACCATAACGTTCATGACTCGCGAAATCGTAATGACACGATTGCAAACAAAACATACCAAGGGTGGGGTTAGAACTCGCGATCAGAGAGTCTCAAAACTTGTGACTCTGATCGCGGGTTCTAACCCCACCCGTGGTATGGTTTACCATAACGTTCACGCTGTATTCATAGATGCTAGAGCTCTGGACGGTAATTTTTTCATTACCTGGTAATTCCAGTAGCAGAAACAAGCTGAATTAATAATGAGTTCATTCATGGCAGCTAATGAACGTGTACATGAGGAACCGAACAAGAACCAGCTTAACAAGAAGAAAGATTAGAGAAAGAGAACAGACAGGTTGAGGGAACAGAACGATCAAAATGAAGAAGGTGAACCAAGTTGAAGAACAAGAAGTCAAAGGGTGAAGGATCAGGTTGCAGGAACTGAACAATCAAGTGGCAAACCCGGCGGGGCGCATTGAAAAAATCATTTCAAGTAATCCTTCCAACGCTGACATCACTTCGTTCATATTTTTTACGCTGGATATTTCTCTCATATCGGGACGTTTTGGATCCTCCTATAATCATAACCATAATTTTGAAAGAGGTGGACCGGTAAGCCAGCGGAAGGCCTCGGTCAGCTAACCAAAAGCTCAAGCTGTGGGTCATCACATGACTAAGACCAGCGTCAAGAAACTTTTGCCCTATTTCCTGACAAACCTTACTAACCACCTCACCGCTGCAGGATGCCAGAAACCTGCCAACAACTATTCTAAAGATAGAAGGCTCTCTGTTATATGTACCAACCAGAAGGCTCTCTGTCATATGTACCAGCCAGAAGGCTCTCTGTAATAATCCCAGCCAAAAGGGTTTTTCCCCTTTTAATGTCCCACCCAAAAGGCTCTCGTCTTATTTTCCAAACCCAAAAGGCTTCTGTAATATGTACCAGCCAAAAGGCTTCTTTTCATTGTACCACCCAAAGGCTCTCTGTAATATGTCCCAAACCCAAAAGCTCTCGTCATGTACCAGCCAAAAGGATCTCTTTTTAGTACCAGCCAAAGGCCTCCGTCATATGTCCAGCCAAAAGGCTCTCTGTCTTTCCCAGCCAGGGGCTCTCTATAATATGTACCAGCCGAAGGTCTCTGTCAATGTACCAGCCAGAAGGCTCTCTGTATATGTACCAGCCAAAGGTCTTGTAATAGTACCAGCCAAAAGCTCCTGTTTGTCCCAGCCAGAAAACTCCTTCGTATGTACCCCAAAGGGCTCACTTCTATGACCCCCCCGAAGGTCTCAAACATATGTCCCACCCAGGCTCTCTGAAATGTGTCCCAGCCAAAAGGCTCTCTGTCATAGTACCAACCAAAAGGGCCTCTTTCATATGTCCCAACCGAAGGCTCTCTGTCATATTTTCCAACCCAGAACTTCTGTCTATGAAACAACCGGGGGGTTTCTCTGTCATATGTCCCAAACCAAAAGCCCCCGTTATGTCCCCAACCAAAAGGCTCTCTGTCTATGTACCAACCGAGGTTTTTGCATATGTACCAACCAGGGGTTCCTTTCATATGTCCAACCAGAAGGCTCTCGTCATATGTCCCAAACCCAAAGGTTCCTGTCATATGTACCAACCAAAAGGTTCTCTGTCATATGTCCAACCAAAAGGCTTCTGTCATTGTAAAAACCAGGGTTCTCTGTCATAGTCCCAAACCGAAGGCTTCTGTATTGTACCAACAGAGTTCTCTGTCATATGTCCAAACCCAGAAGGTTCTCGTCTTATGTACCAACCAAAAGGTTCTCTGTCATATGACCAAACCAGAAGGCTCTCTGTCAATGTACCCCCAAAGGTTTCTCTGTCATATGTACCAACCAGAAGGTTTCTGTCTTATGTACCAACCAAAAGGTCTCTGCTTATGTCCCAAACCAGAAGGTTTTCTCTGTTTATGTACCCGAAGGCTCCGAAATAATTACGCAGAAGGCTTTCCGTCATATGTACCAGCCAAAGGCTCTCTGTCATATGTACCAACCAGAAGGTCTCTGTAATATGTACAGCCAAAAGGCTCTCTATCATATGTACAGCAGAAGTTCTAATATGTAACCAACCAAGAAAGCTCTCTGTCATGTACAGCCAAAGATCTCTATATATGTACAGCAGAAGGCTCTCGTATGTAACAGAAGGTCTCGTCATAATGTACACCAGAAGGCTTCGTCATATGTACACAGAAGGCTCCTATAGTAAGGTACCAGCAGAGGCTTTGTCATATGTACAGCCAGAAGGCATCCTGCATATGTACCCAGCCAGAAGGCTCATCTGAAATATGTACCAGCCAGAAGGTCTCTGTCATATTTACCAGCCAGAAAACTCTCTTTCGTTTGTACAGCAGAAGGCTCACTGTCATATGTACCAGCCGAAGCTCTTATCATATGTACTAGCCAGAAGGCTCTATGTAATGATGTACCACCAAAAGGCTCTCTGTAAATGTACCAACCAGGCTCTCTTATATGTACCACCAGAAGGCTCGTCAGCATATGTACCAACCAAAGGCTCTCTGTCATATGTACCAAGCCAGAGTTCTCTGTCATATGTCACAGAAGGCCTCTGTCATATGTACCAACCTAAGTGCTCTCTGTCATATGTACTAACCAGAAGGCTCTCTGGCTATGTACAACAGAGGTTCTCTGTCAATGTACAACCAGAAGGCTTTGTCTATGTACAACCAGAAGGTTCTCTGTATAATGTACCAACCAGAAGGTCTCTGTCATATGTACCACCAGAAGGGCTCTCTGTCATATGTACCAACCAGAAGGTTCTCTGTCATATGTACCAACCAAAGGCTCTCTGTCATATGTACCAACCAGAAGGTCTCCTGTCATATGTACCAACCAAAGGTTCTCTGTCTTATGTACCAACCAGAAGGTTCTCTGTCATATGTACCAACCAGAAGGCTCTCTGTCATATGTACCAACCAGAAGGTTCTCTGTCATATGTACCAACCAGAAGGTTCTCTGTCTTATGTACCAACCAGAAGGTTCTCTGTCTTATGTACCAACCAGAAGGTTCTCTGTCATATGTACCAACCAGAAGGCTCTCTGTCATATGTACCAACCAGAAGGTTCTCTGTCATATGTACCAACCAGAAGGTTCTCTGTCATATGTACCAACCAGAAGGTTCTCTGTCATATGTACCAACCAGAAGGCTCTCTGTCATATGTACCAACCAGA